GATCCGTTCGTTACTTTAGCCCGGCCGATCCGCCCTTCATGGCAAAGGAAAATACGTTGCCGGTGAAAGGGAGGCGGGCCGGCCGCTTGATGTGAATGAGAATGAGGGAAGCTGTGTATAGATTACGGTACTGCAGACCGGTTCCGGGTCGCGCTGGCTGCCTCTCTCACCCCCCAAACGGGACGCCCCATGAGTGCGAGAGAGAGAGAGAGAGAGAGAGAGAGAGAGAGAGAGAGAGAGAGAGAGAGAGAGAGAGAGAGAGAGAGAGACTAAGCAGAGGGGAGCAATGTCCGAATCTGGACTCGGCCTGCTGACGTTGGCCAGAGTGGGCTGCCGCAAAAAGGTGGACGAGGTGAGGCGTAAGCTGATCTGGTGGGCTGCCTGCCGCACCGGCGGATGAGACTCCGATGGGATACATGGTCTTCATGCCCTCTGCGACATGCACGTGCCAAAGCAAGACTTGCGGCGATGGGTCTCCCACATAAACATTCTGCACTCATACAATGTGTGAAGCATACTTCTTTACTACAAAGGAAAAGAAGGCGTATAAAGAGTTTTAGCCATAATCTAGAGAATCTTCACTCTACAACTTCAAAAGAGTGGACTTTTTAACTGTGTTGTGTTTCTACGCAAGTATCACACGATCCCACAATCTGGCATCTTAAACGCCTCAAAAGCCGAAAAGCGCGTCCAGATCGGAATTAGGGTATCTCAAACAAACGGACAAGGTGACGGGTCTTGAATGGGCTTGAAGCTGCTCGTGCAAAATGAACAGTGTTCCGATCACCATGTTAATTGAGGCGAGGTGGACCTTGCTACCCTGGCCTGGCCGCCATGTCAAGGATCTCTAAACGACAGGCTCACAGTGAGCGCGCCGCACTGTTGGAACAGCAAGATCGGCGACTGATTGACGACGCAATGGCACAAAACTGAGACAATAGACGGTCGGCGGGCATCCTGTGTTCCCTCCAGTGTGTGCGCACCGCAACCACTCGACGTGCGGGTGCGACAGAGACGGACAGAGACGGGCGCACCGCGTCCGGAGGGCTTCCCGTCCGCTGCACGCTTCAAGCACGTCCGGCCGCGCTCATTCCGAAGCTCGTCGCTCTGTCTCTCTCGCACTCATGGGTCGTCCCGCTTCGGTGCGAGGGAGACAGAAGACGACTCTTGGAATCAGTCTATTGCCCCGCTACGCCCTGCCACGCCACGTTTGCGCATCCGGCCGAGTACCGGTTTACGCAGCGGACATGGCACCTGCGCGAAGCCGCGAAAACGGCTGGAAGCGGAACTAAATCAGCCGCACCAGCGCGGGGGCCGCGGGGGCGAGGAGAGGCGGCGTGGGCGTCGGGGGGCCGCGGAGGCCGGGCCGTGCCGAGCCGAGCACCAGCAGGTGTTTACAGCCTGTTTCATAATTCATGGCCCGCGTTCCACCATCGTTTCGTTGCGCGAGTTTCTGTGGGCCCGCCACGCCGCGCCACGCTACGCCTCTCCCCTGTGTTCCTGATGCCCCGTTGAACCCCGCTCCGGCTCACATCAAACCGGCACGGCCGCGGCCTACTGGATCAGCCGCCCGCGCAGCGCACGCCCGTGTTTGGATTTGTTGTGGCTGCAAACAACGCGCCTTGGCGAAACCGGCCGCCCTCGCGGAGGGGGAAGCAAAAAAGAATCACCCCGGCTGAAGCACTTATGTCGCTGCGCTTATTAAAAACGAAACCGTCGCTCGCGCTCCGAACTATTGCTTTTGCCTGAAAATCCAAACAAATCGTAACTTAATGCTCAAAATGCTAGGTAAGGTTTTAAGCTTTCCCAGATTTGCACCTGAAAAAGTGCCCTCATCAGTGTTGTCCTTTTCCGAGTGGATTGACTGACTCCTTCTCCTCGTCTTGCTGCACGTGTAGTCCGCGCTCCTCTCCGATGAACCCGTCCGAGGCGCGGCCTTCTCACTGTACTGGGGTTTCTAGCCCGCTGCCCCGATTAGTGCAGCTTCAAAGGCTGCAGCCGCGCTGCATGCACAGCCAGCAGACTGATGCCGAGGGTCGTTTTCGTCGCTCTGTCTCACGTACTCGTGGGGCGTCCCGTATGGGGTGCGAGAGGAACAGAGCGACGAAAACGACTCTCGGAATCAGTCCGCGGGCACAGCGCGCAGTCGGGTCGCTGCAGAGGGTCGTGGCACGGTCCACTGGCCGGGTAGTCCGCCGGCCGGGTCGCCGTTCCACTTTATGGACCCCATTTCCTTGTTCTTTTCGGTCGGCTCTGCCCTAACCGGACACTCTTGAAAGGCAAGCAGCGTCCCGGCTGCGCTGCATGTACACTGCCAGCGTTCTGCTGCACACTAAACTTTTCTAGACTTCTAATGCATAATAATGCACGCACTGTTAAGTAAGCTCGTGAGTTGTGTATAATATGATTATGCATCACTTAGTACTTCACTGGTAGCCGACGATTGTGACGTCATATTCATTGCAGTGTGAATTTTGTCACGTTCGTTTGAATATGACGTCACATTCGTTTGAAAGCGACTGGGCCGTTTAAGTAGGGTGTCACATTCGTTTGAACGTGAATCAACATTCGAACGAATGTGACATCATATTCAAACGAACGTGACAAAATTCACATTCGAACGAGTATGACGTCACATTCGTTGGTTACCAGTGTTAGTACAGGAAAATTTATAAAAAGTACACAAAATGATGTGTACTTGTCAAGTACTCTCATATAGATGTGTACTACCGAGCACACTTTAGATCTTGTAGTGTAGAAGCAGCGAGCGCTTGTTCGGTAGGCGGACCCCCTGCGCGGTCGCGCCTGGCGTCCCCGGGCTGCGCCGCGCTAGAAAGGGCTAGGCAGGGCCACGCAGGGCTGCTCCTACACACCCCAATCTCCCTCTGATGATCCGAGCCGGGCCGCCTCGCGCCCTCCACCTCGCCGCCACCGCCGTTGTGTCAAGTGGGGATCGTATGGCCCACTTAGTGCCCCGCCGCGCCCCGCCCCGCCACTCCCCACCACGCCCCGCCGTACCTGCCACACTACTGCCATCCAGTTTTCATATCCGTGTCGCTGGCTGCCGTACGTGGCGCTGAAAAGTGAAATGTGAGAGGAGAGTGCCGAGAGTGCAGCAACTAAAAACCGAGGGCCTGCAGGGAAAGGGGGGAAAGGGGAGGCTAAACCACCTCGGGCAGAGCCGCGGCAGGGCCGAGGCGAGGCAGGCCCGCACCCGGCTAAGGCTATAAGGTCGGCCCTGGATATAACCATACAGCTTGTTGCCTGGGGGGAGTGCTCTCGATCTCCATGCCGTGCAATACCTCGGCCACACTTCCTCGTATAATCAGCAGCTTCAGTGCATGCAGCTGTGTGTGTGTGTGTGTGTGTGTGTGTGTGTGTGTGTGTGTGTGTGTGTGTGTGTGTTCGCGCGCACCCGCGTAGGTGTGTGAGTGCTGTGTGCGTGAGGCACACAGCACGGGAAGTGCGACTTACCACATGCGATATTAAAGAAACGCGCTCCGACCTGAGCGTCCTAGGAGTGTTAAGGAGGGAGGGGCGCTGAGTTTGAAGGAGTGGGGATTCTGAGCGGCTGCTGCCGCCTGCAGGCGGATTCCGAGAGCCGCTCTGTCTCTCTCGCACCCCTACGGGACGCCCCATGGGTGCGAGAGAGACGGAGCGAGGAGTCTCGGAATGAGCCTGCTGCGCCGCGATGTAATATTACCATACCGACCACTCGGCGGCGGCGCGGCTCGGCTCGCTGGAGAGGGCTTTATTTCAAGTTAATGCAAGTGGAGGTGAGGCGGCTAGGCCGCGCCAACTTCGCGCGTTCAACATTAGCGGCGCCTCGGCCTTGGCCGCCCCAGCGCAGCGGTTTTCGAATTGCGGTTTTTTCGAATTGACCCCACTACACTGCTATTCGACAAATGTGACGTCACATTCGTTGGAATTTCAATTTTGTCACGTTCGTTTGTATACGAGTCGCATTCGTTAGATACAATGTTGGCCCATGTTCAAACGAATGTGACGTCAAACACTGTGAGAATTTGTTGTCAGTCGATCGTGAATTTGAGGATGGTATTTTTTTTATCGATTTCAAATGATTCAAACTCATCACAAATTGATAATAATTTCATCATTATAGCTCTTTTTCTTACTGCATGGGTGTAACGATAAGGTCATCAATTGGTTTTGATGACATTATTAAGGAGAAGCAGCCTTGACATTGTCTTCAAGTGACAACCAATATTTTCACAGTGTATTCAAACGATAACGTGACCGAGGGGGAACGCAATTCATGAAATCGTGTACAGGCTGACTACACTGGTAAAACTAAAGCGTAGTTGTACGCTTCATTCAAGCGTACAACTACGCTTCAAGACTGTACGCCCTTCTTGAAGCGTACAACTACGCTTCAAGGCAATTACCCCATGCATTTAGATAGGAAGAAAGGAGCGCATGAACTCTTGTACGCTTGAAGAAGGGCGTATTGGCTGTACGCTTCACGAAGGGCGTAATACTACGCCTTAGTTTTACCAGTGTACTTGGAAACACGCGATATCACGCTGAATTACGGTGATATTACACGTGTATTTTGGCCTTTAAAACTCCGAAATTTGGCACGACCCACATAGCGGTATTACGTTCACGAGCATTACGCGGAATGCCTGATTTTTGTGTGCATAGGGTATTACACTCTGACAAAAAAGTACGGAAAAAGTACGGAACATGTCTGGTCAATAATTTGCCTGGACCGTCCGTACTTGCCAACTACGGAACGTTCCGTACTTTTTTTCCGTACCCATTTACATGGGTTCATATGGATCAAGTACGGAACGTTCCGGACCTTTCTCCCTACGTCCGTACTATATTCCGTTCATAAGTACGGAATTTTTTACAGTGTACGCGAGTGTTCAATTATCGCCCATCGAACGTGACCCAATTCGTATTCGAACGAATATTACGTCACGCTCGTTGCTTCGTCCGCAGCCCTTGAAATGACAGTGTGGCTTCTGTTGCAGCCGTGGACGGCGACCTGGTCATGTCCCCCGTGGTGGCGGGGGCGGTGATCGGCGTGGCGCTGTGCCTGGTGTCGGCCACGCTGTGCGTCGCGGTGCACCTCCGCAAGTGCCTCAAGCCGGGCGTCCGGGCCGTGGGCCGGAACGGGGGCCTGGGCTCCGACAAGGGCGCCGTCGTGGGGCTGGGGCCGCCGCCCGGCAAGACGACCGCCCACGCCAGGGACCCCGCCGACGAGAAGGACCCCGACATCATCCCCGCCAAGTTCGGTGAGTACGCGCGGTGCTCTGCAGCCCTGCACTGTGAAAACTAGGCCGTGTAGTTGTACTATACTCAAACATGTTACTGACTTTTTTTCAGTTTGTGAGTACTTACAGAAGTAATTTGCGCAAATATAATACGTACTTTTAGTTTCGAAAAGAAATACTCATTAATTAATTGGAAAATGTATAGTGTACTGAAAATTTATTTTCGTCAGAAATTTGCGAAGGGAATCAGTCACTATCCTGGCTTAAACGAATACGTAATTAATAAGTAAAAAGTCACCAATGGTCTGAATCGTACGCTTGACAAAGCACACATCTACGTTCGGAGACTTAACTCTTAAAGTCAAGCTAGAGGAAAAATTTCCTTACGCGCAAAAGATAGGCCGGCCGGAAGCTTGCAGTCAAGCGAAGCAGACACTTCTCTTGAAGAGAGACGTAACAGTGCGCTTGAGTTCTACCTCTGTGGAGTAAGAGTCCACATTTTTGACCAAACGGCAACCGTGGTGCGCGCCTGTGAATCGAAGGGTAGGCCATCCGCACGACACGTGTGCGCTGAAGTGCCTCTCGTTGCCTGCCTCGCAGGCGCCATGGACGCGCAGCGACGGCGTGGTCTTCTCGCTCCTCAAGGAACAAGCGTGAACAAGGCGGAAAAAGCAGCTCTCCCCCCCTTTTTAGTCGCACCCGTGACAGTAGTGTAACATGGGCCTTCTGTCCTCCCCGAAACCTCGCGCGGTGCACGGTCACTGCCATGCCTCCCGCTCGGTTACGCAGTCTCCGGTGGCGCCCTGCCGAGCGCGCCCGATAGATCAAGTGGGTACTCTTGTTCGCCGTGAGGCCTTCCCGCTTGGGATGTCTGTGAGGTAGGGGCAACGTGATGCCGCACGAGTCTTGCGGGTTGGCCCACCTTGCGGCAGTGGGCGGCCACGCGCACTGTGAAAATTTCAGTCGTCACTAGATGACAATTTCAAGCCTAATTTTCCTTATAACAATGTCATCAAAACAATAGATATGACATTATTGTCACGCCCATGCAAAAAGTATAGGGCCTTAAATGAAAATGTCATCAATTTGCGATGAGATTGTCATCATTTGAAAGTGACGACAATGTCATCCACGTTTTTGTCATAAAGTGACAACAAATTTTCACAGTTCGGGTACCTGACGTCAGGGTAGTGTCTCACAGTGGGCCTGAGGACCGGCGCAGATGGTCTAAACTGTAGGCGCTTTGACCTCCCAGAGTCGCTCAACAGGACTAGAATAGCATGCCGCGTGAGTGATTTTGAACAACCCTTTTAAAACTGCGTTGGAACGCGCGCACAATAATTTGTCGGTGCGCTTTCCATCCGGTTTCGGCTGTCGGCACCAAAAAGGTGCAAAGCCACGAGGAAGTTCAAAGGGAAGCGAGGAAAAGGGTGCAGGGCGCCGTGGATTCTCTCGGTAGCAGCGAAAGTCCCCGACCAACCGACCCGGTCCGGAGCGAAATGTTCGCACTTGAGCAGGGCTGTGTGGCAGTGCATAATGAGACAGGGTCTGCTGACACGAAAGAGAGAGGAGAGAGAGAGAGGAGAGAGGGAAAGAGAGGGAGAGAGAGTGAGAGGGAGAGGGAGAGAGAGGAGAGAGGGAAAGAGAAAGAGAGAGAGAGAGGGGGGGGGAGGGGAGAGAGAGGCGGAGGGGAAGGGGGGCTGCAGCACGCTTGATTAACCCCCAGTCCAGGTAAGGTCGCCAGCTATGCACTTGACGCTGCAGGCCGCAGTTCTGCACCTTTCGGCGCCGCTTTTTTTTTATTTCGCTCCCCTTGGCGACTGCTTTACGCTTTGCGAGCGGCACGGACGCTGTTTCCTGCATTCACTGAACAAAAGTGCGAGCCTGACGCCCCCGAATCAGGGATCGGGGCGGTGATTCGCACCGAGCGGAGAACTCCGCCTCTTAACTACATCTCTCTCTCTCTCTCTCTCTCTCTCTCTCTCTCTCTCTCTCTCTCCTCTTCTTCTTCTCTCTCTTTTTTCTCTCTCTCTCTTCTGTCTCTTTTCTATCTGTCGTCTCTTTTCTGCTCTGTCTTCTTTTCGTCTCTTTCTCTCTTCGTCTCTTTTTCTCTCTTTTTGTCTCTCTTTTTGTCCTTTTTTCTCTCTCTCTCCCTTTTCTCCCTCCTCTTCTCTCTCTCTCTCTCTCTCTCTTCATCTGGACTTGAAACTTGCATGCCTGCTACATTTTCACGAAATTTTCAAATCACCTGGTCCAATTTTTTAAATAAAAATCGAACATCCCAGTAAAAAAAATGTTATGAATTAAAATATATATATATCTCTCTCTCTCTGTCCGTGTCCATGTATGTCTGTGTGTCGGTCCGTGCCACTGGCTGGACAAAACGGGGCGCGACAGTGACAGGCCCACAATACGAATCCATTTCATTTTCTAGCAGTGATGTAATCGTGGAGAGGGCCCCCGCTGTTGTTGAATCAGGCGCAAAGCACTGGCAAGCACTGCAAAGCAGGCTAAACAATGAAAAACAAGCAGCGAGCGCACACACAGCACACATGCCACGCTTGAAAGCCACTCAGGTGTCTCTTGACACCCCCGGAATTATTTATGTCAGTGCACAATGTCAGACTGGATTCCACGCGCCTCAACCTCCCCTTCCCTTTCCCCCTTCCCCTCTCCTCCTCTTCCCCCTCCCCTCCGCACGTGTGGAATTCAATTAGACCGCCCGTAATCACATGGGTCGAGTACACAGCGCCGCCCTGCTTCGCCACGACGCCGCGGGCCCAAGTGGAGGTCTGGACCCGACCCGATCCGCGGCGCGCACCACCGCAACCCCGCCCCACCCCGCCTCACCCCCCCCTGCCCCGCCTTGCCCGCCCTGCCCAGCCGCCCCACCCCGCCCTTTCCCCGCCCCGCCTCGCCCTGCCCCCCCCTTGGCCCAACCCGAAAAACGGGTCGCGTGTTGTCCCCGCATGGGGGGACGTGCCGCGGAAGTGCGACGAGGACGAAACGACTGTTGGAAACCAAACTACAGTCCCGCTAGCGCGCCCAGCACGCTATTCGTCTCTCTCGCACTTGAGGAGTGTCCCGTGAGGTTGCGTGAGAGCAAGGGTGACTGTTTGGGATCGGACCACGGCCACAAACCCGCGCCAGCATGTCGGCGTCTCTCTCTCTCCCTCTTCCTCCCCCCCCTTCTCTCCTCCCTCCCTCTTTTTCCCTCTCTCTCTCTCTCTCCTCTCTCTCTCTCTCTCTCTCTTCTCTCTCTCTCTCTTTTCCCCTCTCTTTCCCCCTCTCTTTTTTCTTCTCTTCTTTCTTTTCCCTCTCTCCCTCTCCTCTCCCCTTCTCTCTCTCTCTCTCTCTCTCTCTCTCTCTCTCCTCTCTCTCTCTCTCTCAAACGGGACTGCAGCCCGGCCCCACGCCGGCGCGGCTGGCTAGCTGCCTGGCTGGCGTCCCAGCGGGCCCGGCTTGGGTGCTGAGTCGAGTTTATCTGACCGCGGCGGCGCGATCTTGGAATCTTCGGCTGCGCTCCAGCGCCGCTCCAGTGGCCAGGCCGCCCCAGGCCGGCAGTGTGTGTCCGAGGCGCTGCCGGGAATTGGAACCGTTTCCAGCCGTGATTTGTAGTGGCGGACGCGGGCCGGGGGACCGGCGGCGGCTTTCTCAGTTCGCCACCCTGGTTGGTGCGGTCACCGCGGTCACGGCGCCGCGCTGCCGACCGGCCCGGCCAAAGCCGCAAGACTCGACGCAATCCCCGAGCTCAAATTAATTACCATCCGTCCGAGTCGGCGCCCCGAATGGCTGGCACTACTTTCGGCCGCGGCCGCCGGGCTTCCTTCCGGTGCACAGTGGGCCAGAAGACCGGCGGAGGCGGCCAAAACTCTAGACGCGTTTTGAGCTCCAGAGTCCGCTAAGCGGGATTCGAACCGAGCGTGTCACCTCACAAATGGATTCCTCGTTCGGACAGATATCTATTGGTGGTGTCACACGTTCGGTTCGAGTCCCATTTAGCGACTCTGATCTGGAGCTCAAAACGCGTCCGGGATTTTGGCCGCCTACACCGGTCTTCTGGCCCACTGTGCGGTGCTGTGGTCGTTCCCTACCGTTCGACGCATTCAGGTTGTAACGTGGGAAAAATACAAGGGGGTGACCAGCACGTGATGACACTGTCATCACAGTGTGATGACATTTTCGTGAAAGCCCCGATGCTTATTGCAGGGGCGTGACTATACTGTGTCATCAAATGATTTGATGACACAATATAAGAAATAAGCTGTATTTAGTGACTGTCTCTTGTTTGTGTCCTACCTCCCCCCCTTCTTCCGCACTGAAAATAGAAAGGTCAGACTTTTCACCCCTTAAACGGTCTTACTGAAATGTACGATCGAAAAAGGGCCATACTGAAATGTAAGACCGAAAGAAAAGGTCATACTTCGATGTATGACCAAAAAACGGTCATACTAGTGTATCACGGGTAAAGGGTATCCCCAAGCTAAACAATAGCCAGTCTCGCTGATGTCTGACCTGTTTTTGGTCATACATTTAAGTATGACCGTTTCTCGGTCATACTTTTTGTGTATGACCGTTTTTAGGTCATACCTTTTGTATCACCGAAAATCGGTAAGATGTCTCACACTCGAATATCAGTGCGTCTGGACTCTGCCGGACTCTATGAGGGAAAAGGAAGGAAGGGGTTTGCCCTTGACGCTCAGCGTCGGGCCGGCGGGGCAGTCGCAACGGCCGGAACGTAACCCAAAACCGGTCTCGTGGTTTACGGCCGGCCCCGACCGCATCCCACCACGCTATTGAATCTGCTGCCAATCGCGCCTCTCTCTCTGTTCCAGACCCGATCGTCCCGCGAGCCCCGGCCAACGGCACACTGGCGGCGCACGGCGTCCCCGGCGTCCCGGCCCGCTCCCCGGCACCCCCCACGGAGGCGGGCGGCGTGAGTCCGTCGGGTCGGATGCCCGGCCTGGCCGGCCTGGCTGGCCTGGGTCCGGCCCAGGGCAACGGCGGCCCGCCCAAGGCTGCGTCCCCGGAGCACTGGGTGCGCTCCAGGAACTCGTCCGGCTTCGAGACGGTGAGTAGCCACGTGACTATGTCGATTTAGCTCGTGTCGCACAGTGCGCTGAGAAAACCTTACAAACTATTTTGGGCCTTACAAAGAAAAGTAGTTTGTATAACAAAGTATTTTGAGCATACGTAAGCTTACAAAGAAAATAGTTCGTAATTTACGAACTGTTTCTTCGTATACCAAAGTATTTTAGTTTGTTATATGTATGCTCAAAATACTTCGTAAAATTTTGAGAGTGCGGACAAAAAACTAGAGATGAGCTTTGAGCTCCAGACATGGTAAAACCGGCACTCAGTTTTCCCAGGAAGCCTATGGTAAAGGCATAGCTGATTTCCAGGGAGTTCCTGGAAAACCCAGGAACCTTTTCTTACCGTGGAGTTACTAAACAGGACTCGAACCGAGCGTATGACCTCCACCCAAGGATTCCTCCTTCACTGATAAAGATTTTGTCGTAACTTAGCGACACATTTATTGCTAATTTTTCTTAGCGATACATTTATTGCTAATATTTCTTAGCGACAAGATTTGTTGTGGAACGAATAGCTTGTTAAACCATACTCGTACTGGAACTAAAGGATAATTTCACAACGACAAACTTGTAATAACACATCAACAGTCCTCCTTCAAAAACAAGTCGTTGACAAACAACAAGTCGTTGACCAACAACAAATGTTTTTAGTCAACAACAAGTACTGTAAGTCGAAAAAGATTTTGTAATGTCTGCGACAAGTATTCATTGAGTACTTTTGTCGCTAAATTTATTTTTCATGGTTCTACTTTAAATTATGGTAATTTCCCTATGACTTAGGAGAACAAAATGGATGATTATCCATAATAACTTACACTTTAACTAAGCAGATAATGGCAAAAGATGTTGTTTCCACACAAATTGCATCGTTAATGGTGATAACAAGGATTTTGTTCTTCAACGACAAATTGTCGCTTACTAGGTTCAACGACATTTGTTTCGCTTTGGTTCATGATGACATTCTATGTTTTGGAACGACTAAATTTTCACTCATCTGATTGTTTCTGTACAACCGTGTTTTAACAGTGTTTGGAGAGCAATCGATTGGTGGGGTCACACGTTTTAACACACGTTTCACACGTTAGAGCCCACCATGTGCACCCTTGAGTTTGCAGAGAAGTAATTTTACTGCGTTTGTCTGGGTAGACTCACCACTTCGTGGAACCGTGGGACTCGTGGGACCTGCGGCCCAAGGACCTGCGCCTGTCCAAGTCTCCCAGCTCGAGCAGCACGGACAGAAGAGACCTGGAGCTGAACGGGTCGGCCATCAAGGACCGCCTCATGTCCTCCCGCGTGCCCGAGAGCTGCGTCTGAAACGACAGCAGCGTGCTCGAGGCGAACTACGACCGCCTCGTCAAACGACTGATTCTATTGATAGAATAATGGATAAGAGGAGAAAACTGTCTGTCATCCTTGAAATCCTTGGCTTCCGGGCCGCGTTGGACTGCCCTGTACATAGTTTGGTCTCTGTGCGCCTTTGTGCTGGAGGTCAGAAGGATGATAGCTGGAGGGGGTGACAAATGAGTGACTGTGTGAGTGCATGCGCGTGTGCCTGGGTGTGTGTTTGTATATATGTGAAATATTATTGTTATGTTTGCATAGTATAAACTTACGGAAATCTTTTGTACACAAGATGGCGACTGTTTCTTGTGTGTAGGGAAAGAATTCTTGTCTGTGCAACAGTTGCATAACTTGGAAGCGATCGAAGTTTCCGTTTAGACGACACCGACTTTTTCCGTTGGATCAAATCCAGTTGTCGCGCGGAACCCCTTGAACCGAAATGTAAAGCAATGACATGGACTCCTGTGTAGTAGTCACTATCAAAATTGACTTAAGAAATTACAAAACATGTCGCTGTAGGCATATCTGATAAATTAATGTCTGTCATATCATGATCATAATCACTAAATAGGTAAAAAATTAAATTCACGAATGTATCTGTGAGTGCTCCGCACTTTTCTACCCAGCCTATTTTTTAGCAAAACTTTGCCACTGTGCCACAAAACTTATTTGCATCATTTTTGTCTGGTCTGAGGTGTGTTTGTCCTCCTAGTCTTATCAGTAGAAAAATGTTAGATATCGTTCCGCATGAAAAATAACTGCAATTGTTAAATTATATTTTTTGTAACAAGTTTTACTCTTAAAGAGGAAAATAAATCTAAACTGATAAAATATTCCTTCGTGTCTGTTATGTCCTTTTCATGAATAACATTTTTACACACACGAGTTTTTTTTTTTTAATGCGAAAAATCACTTTGCCTTTAAAGCACAAGGCCAGGGCGAGTTGAGCTCGTCGAGCTGCATTGCTTTTACGCACGGACACTGCGAGACTCTTCCGGAGGGAACGACAGGCGATTCAATTGCTTCCATGCCACTGGGAGCGCATCCATAACTTACGAAGGGATCCAAGAAGAGAACGAAAGGTTAGCATCTCCTGAGGCAGCATAAAGTTTAGGTGACTGACCCCACGCCGCACCAAACAGGAGAAATGGAAGGAAGGTCAGAAAGAAAGTCTGGACTCAAATAAAGCATTTGAATTTCCCCATAGATTCCTCGATTGAAATGGAATCCATTCGCGCCACCATTATTTCGGTTCGAGTATCATTTACAGAACTCTTCAGGTCATAAGGGGTTGAACGATCGCCAACAGCAGACAGTGCTTTCGTCGCTCTGTCTCACTCGCACTCATGTGGAACGTCACCTCAGGGAGCAAGAGAGACACGCCTGTTCGAGATGGGCCTTCTGGTCTTCAGAGAGGTCCACCGTGCGGCAACCGGCGTCCACACGATGTCACAAGAAAGGTGAAGCAACAGCGGCAAAACATTGTCCCGGAAGTCGTCGCTGCAACCTGAGGCCAAGCGACGCCACACCACGCTGAGCAGCACAGGGATTTATGCATAAGCGTTCTCGGCACACTGCGGTGCACAATGGACCGATACTTGTAGGGGGACGGGGCTCTGTCTGTCCTTGTCGCGCACATTGGACGTGCACGGAGAAGGGGCACTGTCTGTCCTCGTCGCGCGCATTATTCGAGCGAGATGAATGGCCCGGGCGGCCGGGCAGCACAATAGCGACCCTTGTAAGACACACACAATATGATACGGCCAAGACTTGATTTGCTGCGGGGGCCCGCAAGCATGAGAAAAAAAAGAAAGAAAACATGCAGTGCGGGACTAAGCGCTATACCAGGCTGCAACCACGCAAATCGTGGCTGTGCTTTGCCACCGGGGTCAAAACTATATACTTGATGCATTTTCGAGCGGAAAACTAGAATTTCGGGCATGCGCCGGGAAGGTAGGCAACCCTTCGTCTCCAGCCCTCTTTCAGCGCACCAGCGTCACGGGGAAAGTAATTTCCACACCAGATCGAATGTGACAAAGACCATTGTGCACCGAGTATCTCTTTCTTGGACCCATAAGGCGGTTCCATATCAATTTCAGACACATCGAAGGTGGTCCACCATTTTCGTAGAAAAACCACAGACTAGCGTCTCGGGAAAAGTCATTTTAACACCAAATGACTTGCGTCAAAGACCATTGGGGACCGGGTATCCATTACTTGGGCCCATAGCAACATTTCATATGAGTTTCAGACAAATCGAAGATGGTCGGCCATTTTCGTCGAAAAAATGTTAAGGCTATACATCATGGTTTTTTCACGTTTTAGGCCAAACCGTGAATTTCCACGAAATTCGAGTATGTTGTACTGGGACACTCCCTCGTGGCACCTGACACTATTTCGAGGGTCATTTGGGCCTTAAACAGTCTCTTTCTGGCGAAAAACTGGAAGTATTTGAGCCCGCGCCGCATTGGTAGGCAACCCACCGTCCACAGCGCTCCAGAACTCAACTTGCATCGTGGGAAAAGCCATTTTTACGACAAATAAGATGCGTCCAAGACCATTGGGCACCGGCCTTCTGTTTCTTAGACCCATGAGAAGGTTCCATATCAATTTCAGACGAATCGGAGGTAGTTGCCCATTTTCGCCGAAAAAATGTTAAGGCTTATACATCATGGTTTTTTCACGTTTTGGACCAAAACATGAAATTCGATCAAATTCGAGTATGTCGTACTGGGGAACTCCCTCGTGGCTCCTGACACTATTTCGAGGACCATTTGGGCCTTAAACAGTCTCTTTCTGGCGAAAAACTGGAAGTATTTGAGCCTACGCCGCATAGGTAGGCAACAAACCGTCCACAGCGCACCAGAATTCAAATTGCATCGCGGGAAAAGTCATTTTCACATCGAATGGCATGCGTCAAAGGTCATTGGGCACCAGGCATCTGTTGCTCAGGCCCATATCAACGTTCCATATGAATTTTCATCGACAAAAGCTGCCGTTTTCTGTCAAAAATTTAATATGGCCCAAAGTCGAGCATGTTGCACTGGAGCACTCCGTGATGACTGCTGAGTCTAACTTAATGCCCATTATTTAGGCGGGTGAGCAGCTTCTCTGCAAACTCAACAGTGTGCTCAGTACACTCCATTCGGCGTGTACTCATAAGTACACTCCAGCGAGAGCGAGTGTGCGATTAGCTGAGTACACTCCAACGAGAGTCTAAGTTTGTGGGAGGTGTACACGTTAAAGAAAGCGTACTGAGTGCACTGTTGAGTCTGCAGAGTTGCCACTGCGGAAACGTCACGTGTTCTTAGGTGTCCGCTGCATCGATTCAGACAAAAATTCCCGCCTTTTTTGCGGTAAGACCTTGTGTACTTGATGCGGATGATGTTGCTTTCCTGCCAAGGTGCCTAGGCAACCCTGCGCTGTGTGCGATAATATTGCCTGTTTACCGGCAGGCGCCTGCACGTCACAGGATAGGCAACCCGCTCCTCTTCCATGCGAAGCCTGCGATGGCATTGCCTACCTGCCGGGCGTTCACGGCGGGAGACCCGCCGCGTTAAAAGGGTATTTTTCGTCTGGATGGGTCGGATTAGGATCAAGGCATTACTGGGCTGATGTGCCATCTTAATTTAGGGGGCGGGGCGTTCGCTGCCGCTTGCTGCGGCGTCCTCTGCACCCTCGGCGTATCCAGCCGTCAAGATCTTGTCACTCGGCACTTGAGCTTGGGCCGCACACAGCGGCGCAGCGGCCACAGCTGGAGACGAGGCGGCAGGGGAGGGGGAAACTGGGGGAGGGGGGGTGAGGGGGAGAGGGTGCTGGTGGTACGGTATCAACGCGGTAAACGAGATAGGCCCCCTCCCCTTGCCCCCCGTGCAGCCCATGGCGCCCAGAAAAGGCAAGCGGTCCATCTTTGCCCCACTTTGTGTTTGTCCAGTCAACGGCCGCGGGATTCATGAGACATAAAAGGGGCCCTCTGCCCCCCGAAGGGGCCCGCCAAGGAGTTCGACGTCGTTTTTCGCTTCCGTGGACGCGATGTGGTACGGAGTATTTTGAGCACATGTAAAGTACAATGTGTTTAGATTGTCATATGAAGAATTAGTCCGTAAATTACGAAGAATTTTCTTTTCGAACTGATGTGAGCTCAAAATACTTTGTTGTATGTATGTAACATGAAACTATTTTCTGTATGACCCATGATAGTTTGTAAGCTTTTCAGAGTGCGAGACGATTATGCTGCCGCAGAGAATAACGAAAGTTGCAGACATATTATATATATTACGTATTATAGTGGAGATTTTTGTGTGATGCAAAAGAAATTTCACAAAATATATGCAAGGTACAATGAATTTTCGGAGGTAAGTTAGAGGCTGCACCATGATACCAGGGGGCGGCAACGGCCTAGGAAGCGCGTGAAGCCATGCGCGAGTGAGGTGCAGGGGTTACTTATTTTGCTTCGATTGTAAGACCTAGCCCGTTGATTGCAAAACGCTTTGCACCGATCAAAAGGGCACAAAATTTGGGGTGCATTAGGCCTAGTAGACTGCCCGATACTTCCAATTCAACCGAATACAAGGACGGAATCATTTACAACAACATGGCGCATTCGAGTTTTTTCCTCAATTTTCTGATAGTTGTGTTTTTCGGTGTTTTTACTGCACCCTAATATTAGGTAAAAGGGTACTTTCGAGAAGAGCGATTAGCCTAATGCACCCTAAATTTCAAGGCCTTTCCATCGGTGCAAAGCGTTTTGAAAAACGTAGTCTAGTTTTCATAATCTCGAACAAGTGCTCGACCTCTGCACTGACGGCGCGAGCATCGCTTCACACTCTCCCTAGGCCGTTGCCATCCCCTGATGATACAGAGGAGTTTCTTCGTTCAAACTCTGTGCAAAGGTTCTTTACGGCGTCGCATCTTCTAACGCAACCTGGAGGAGACGTCCGATTTCCCTGCGCACAGTCCCGCGCAATCCCGAGCTCACTTCGCGGGGCGCTGTGATCGGGCCGCCGCCGAAAAGCGACACAAACGGAAAAGAAAGTCGGAGGGAGCAGAACGGGGCAAGAAATGATAAGGGCACATCGCTCCCTCACAGCGGGGAGTATGCTGACTAGGTGAATGAGCCACTTTTGAGCCGCTTGGCTTTCGAGCGTGGCGTGTTTGTCGACCTCACGTTCCGACGAGGCACGGCGGCGCGGCGTGGTGTGGCGAGGCGTGGCGTGGCGTTCTGGAGAGCAGCGGGGCGCGCCTGACTGCACACTGGATGGGCGGCAGCAAGACGCGACGAGACGGACAGGAGTGAAGGTACGCGGCGGGCTTGTGCGAAACGGCAGACTGAATCCGAGAGTCGCTTTCGTCGCTCTGTCTCTCTCGCACTCAGAGAGCAGCCCGTAAAGGTGCGAGAGAGACAGAGCGACGAAAACGACTCTCGGAATCAGTCTGCAGGTCAGGACGCGTATACGCTATCCTGACGTAGCGGCTCTCGTCTGCCTGCAGGCCTTTGCAGGCCTCCGCCACACGTACGCCAGGCCTGGGCCGTCTTTGCCACCGCCACGGCACCGCCACGGCGGACGCGGTGCGCGGCTTATGAAAACTGTAAGGGTGACTTAGCACGAAAGGGAAGGACGGGGCGGTCGGCGCGTTGCTATGCCTTTGTGCCCCCCCCCCTCTCTCCCCTCTCTCTCTCACACACACACACACTCTCTCTCTCTTTCTTTCTCTGTCTCCCTCCCTCTCTCTCTCTCTCTCTCTCTCTCTCTCTCTCTCTCTCTCTCTCTCCTTCCCTCCCCCACCCCTCCCTCTCGTTCCTTTGCGTCCGCACGCGCCTTGACTCTTCAAG